ATTAATTAGTAGTTAGGATATATCTTATTCGATAAATATATATATATAGAGATATACGACGAATACGAAATACGTCGATAGAAGTCTACCTAACGAAACGAGCGTAGCAAATAGTCCCGAAGTAAGAGGACTAGAGTATTAGTTATAGGCGTCGCCCTAGATACTATAGAATAATCACCAAATATATCCGACTAAGAATTGAAGGACTATATAATAATTAAATATAAGAAGCTATATATAACTAGCGATAAACCTAGGATTCCGGAAGAATACTAGGAGTTTACGGATGTTTTTATAGTACCGGCCGATAGAGTATTACCGAAATATAGATCCTTTAATTATAAAATTAATACTATAGAAGGTACGGAACTAACTTTTATACCTATCTATTAGTTGTTATAAAAGGAGTCCGATATACTTAAGGAATATATCTAGGAGAACCTACGAAAAGGATATATCTAAGTCTTAAAGTTAGCGGCTAGATATCCTATTATCTTCGTACTAAAGAAGGACGGGAGTCTTCGACTTTATATAGATTACCGATATTTAAATTCGATTACTATTAAAGATCGATACCTACTACCGTTAATTAACGAAATATAAGATAGGATTAGATATACTAAGTACTTTTCAAAGTATAATATTACTAATACCTATTATCGTATTAGGATTAAGCTAGGCTATAAATAGAAAACGGTATTTAGGACTAAATTCGGATATTACGAATATAAGGTTATACCTTTCGGCCTTACTAACGTACTAGCGATATTCTAACGCTTTATCTTCAAAGCGATTAAGGAATATTTAGATATCTTTATTATCGTATATCTAGATGATATCTTAGTCTTCTTAGAGATACTCGAAGATTATATTAAATATAATAGACTTATATTATAGAAGCTAAGAGAAGTAGAAGTCACTCTTAAACTAAAGAAATACGAATTCTACGTTTAAGAAACGACTTTCCTCGGATACCGTATTACCCCTAAAGGACTAGGGATAGAAGAAGATAAGGTCAAAAGTATTATAGAATAGCCGATATCTAAAAACGTAAAGAAAGTATAACAATTTCTTAGTCTAGCTAACTATTACTAAAAGATTATCGATAGATACGCCGGAGTCGTATTAGGACTCTACTATCTTACTAAGAAAGATTAGAAATTTATATAGGATAAGGCAGTAGATAAATCGTTCTAGGACCTTAAGAAACTCTTTAATAAAGGAACAATCGTAGCTACGTTTAGCTACGACCGACTAATTATTATAGAAACCGATATATTAGACTACGCTTTAGGAGTAAGACTAACGTAACCGGGAACTAACGGTAAGTACCGACTAGTTACATTTTAGTCGAGGAAAATAGTTCTAGTAGAACTTAACTACGATATATATAATAAAGAACTATTAGCTATAGTATTAGCGTTCTAAGTCTAGAGAGTATATCTAGAGGGAGTAAAGTATACGGTAACGGTTAAAACCGATTATAAGAATCTTATATTCTTTACTACGATAAAGAAGTTAACGAGACGATAAGCGCGATAGGCCGAAACCCTTATATAATACGATTTTAGAATCGAATACTATAAAGGGATAGAGAACGGATAAGCCGACGCTTTAAGTAGACGACTAGACTACGAATTAGGAACTAAAGTAGTAGACCCTACTATATTAAGACAAAACTCTAATAGTACTATCTTATATAATAAATAGTTACTAGCCGTAATAATAGAAGTTAAGGATAACGACTTCTTATAGAAAATCAAAGACGCGTTAGAAGAAGATACGATCAATTAACTCGTCGAGAAGGGTAGAAAACTTACTAAGGACGACTAAAGATTACTCTATATATATAGATTAATATATATTCTAAGTAAGCTAAGAGAAGAGGTTATACGTCGATACTACAATAATATCTTATATAGATATATAGGAGTAGAAAAAACCATCGAATATATTACGCGAAATTATTATTTTCTAAATATATAGCGAAAGGTTCGATTCTACGTCCGCGTTTGCGATACGTACTAAAGAAACAAACCTATACGATACGTACCTTATAGAGAATTATAGTTATCTAAGATACTAACCTAGCCGTAGGAATAGATTACGATAGACTTTATCACAAAGTTACTAATCTTAGATAGATACGATATAATTATAGTTATAGTCGATAGGCTTACTAAGTACGCCTATATAATTCCGACTATAGAAACTATTAATACTAATCAAATAGCGAACATTATACTTCGATATATAGTTACAAACTATAGGATGCTAAGTAAGATTATATTAGATAGAGACAAGCTATTTATATCGAATATATAGAAGTCTTTTACGGACTAAATAGGTATTAAGCTTAGACTCTCTACTATATACCACCCGCAAACTAACAGTTAGACGGAAAGAGTGAATTAGATAGTAAAATAGTACCTACGATACTATATAAACTACTAGTAAGATAACTAGGTAGGACTACTACTAATAATATAGCTAGTATATAACAATATAGCGTACTTTACGACTAACGAAACACTATTCTTTACGAATTATAGGTATAATCTAATAGTATTCGGAGAACTAATAAATAAGATAGCCGTGGTAGAGTTAGCGAGACTAAAGGCTAGCGGACTAAGAAAGTTATATACGTAACTAGCTAGAGATATTAACTTTATTAATCTACGTATAAAGAAATACTACGACGACTACTATAGAGAGGGACCTAACCTTAAGGAGGGAGAAAAGGTTTACCTATTACGACGTAATATCAAAACTAAGCGACCTAGTAACAAATTGGACTACCTACGACTAGGACTATTTAAGATTGAGGAAAAATTAGGACTAGTAAATTATCGCTTAAAGCTACCCGAAAGTATACAAAAACTCTATATAGCGTTTTATATCTCGTTACTCGAACTAGTACTAGATAACGCCGAAATTGCAACTAACGTAGAAATCGAGGAAACCGAAGACGAATATAAAGTCGAACGAATCCTATCGGATAGATAGTATAATAGTTAGTAATAACTCTTAGTTTAGTAGAAAGGGTATCCTACCTTAGAAAATATATAGGAACCTATCTAGAACCTAAGGGGCTACTACTAGCTTATTTAATAGTATTACTAATAGGCGAAAAGGACCTTTATATAACGGAAAGCGAGGAGGGTACGAAACCGGATTTATCCTAGAAAGAAATAGGGAGATTAGCAATCTCCGCTAACATCTAATCAAAGTTCGGATAATCGGTAGTAGTAGTAAGCTACTTAAGGTCGAGAGTAGAAGGGGAAGCCTACTTTAGGGATATTTACTTTTTATCGAGAATTTAAAGGAGTTTAGTATTATATTCCGATATTTTAAAACCCTTTTGTTTTAGGAAGGATATTTATTTATATAACCGACGTTGCCTAGATATTGCTTCTTAGTATTATTTTTATTTATTTAACAATTTTTAATATAGCTCTATAAGATAAGCTTATAGTTCGCTTAACTCGGGTTCTAATAAATCGAGTTTACTTTTATTCGTTTTAAGATCCGAAGAAAGTTTAGTTTCGGTACGACGTAATAAATCCTATTCCCAACTAGTATAAAAGTCACGCTTATATAAGCGACCCGCGCGAGTATATAAGGTATATTTCGAATATTAATAAGAACGATCTATTAGATAAGTAATACCTACCGATTTATAATAATCGTAAGAAATAGAGGTAGTAAAACTATTATCCTTAATATAAGTCGCCTAACGATAATAAGTATTAGAAGAATTAGAGGGAAGTTTAGGAGTAAGTAAAGAAATAGAGTTAGCCTTTCGTTTAGGTATAACGAGGAAGTATTATTTTAAGAAAAAGAAATATATCACCTACCTAAGGGGGGATACCGTAGCTTTATAAGTCTCGGGGACGAAACTCCTAGGAAGAGGGGAGGTAATATTACGGACCTATCCGTTACTAATTAGTAGTGACCTACTAGGTATACCAATAGGCTATCGAGAGCTAACTAGGATATCTATTAGTAGATCACGTATAAGCTTACTAAGTAAGAGTAGGATCCGCCCTAAGCGGATCTACCCCGTAGAGGATTTCCGATATATAGGTTGCTCTACGAACTAGATAACCGCTACTTAGTATTACGTGATTATATAGGTAGTAGAAGGGTAGTAAGTAGATTAGTAGAAACCGCTAAGGCGATTCTACTATTCTACTATCTACTATTCTATATAGGAAGAACTTAGGGATATATAAGGATACTTATTTATATATCTAGTTTAGTTCTTCGTCTTCAATTATACATTGTTACTTGTGTTTACCTTTTAGATTACTATGACTCTTTACTTGATTATAACTTGACAATACTTACGAGTAGACTAATACCCCGGTATCGATCTACTCGGCGCTCTACCTGGTATTAGTTCCTTGATCGCTCAAAAGGACTTAGGCTACTATAAGGCCCCGCGCGGCATTAGCTTAGTTGAGACCGAATCATTGACGTTGGACTATTCGAGGAGTATTAAGGTAAGTATACCCTGAACCCATCTAACCTAACTGTGACTAGTTAGCTAGTGCGTAACACTATATTCTATTTTAGATATCTAGTTATTAAGTAGACCGAGGGTAATATCTATAATAGTTAAAATAGCGACCCTCCGTAGCGTATAGTATAAAACGAAGAATATATTAAGCTATATAGAACTAGGAAATTAAGGGCGATCCGGGCGACTTATAGGGCTAGACCGACGACTCCTTTAAATTTCTGCGAGTAGGGAAGTAGGCTATATTCGGGGCGTAGAGTTTTTAGCTAGTAAAGGCTACGTCAGCGGATTAGGGAATAATACTAGCGAAAAATAATAGAGGGGGAAAGGGGGGAATAGGCGTAGGAAAGAAGAGAGTTGTCGTTAAGCGACGTACCGCGGATTATATAGATAGCGGATATCGCGAGACGGGCGGTACGAGACAGTAGATCCCGATTAGGGCTAGCGTAAGGCGCTAAACCCTAAGTAGACGGACGCGATGCCGGATCCGGTAGCGGCCCTATGGGCGCTAAACCCTAAGAGGGGGGGCGCCGAAAACGGCGCCGGTTTAGCAAATCGCAATTCTACTATCTAATTTACTCTTTCTATTTAACCGTTAGTTTATAGGTAGTATATAGTAGAGAGTCTAAGCTTAATACCTATCTAGTCTATAAAAGACTTCTATATATTCGATATAAATAGCTTATCTCTATCTAATATAATCTTACTCGATATCCTATAGTTCGTAACTATATATCGAAGTATAATATTCGCTATTCGATTAGTATTAATAGTTTCTATAGTCGGAATTATATAAGCGTATTTAGTAAGCTTATCGATTATAACTATAATTATATTATATCTATCTAAGACTAGTAATTTTATAATAAAGTCTATTATAATCTATTCCTATAATTAGGTTAGCGTTTTAGATAACTATAATTCTCTATAAAACGCGTATTATATAGGTTTATTTCGTTAGTATATATCGTAAACGCGGATATAGAATCGAACCTTTCGCTATATATTCGGAAAATAATAATTTTATATAATATATTTAATAGTTTTTTCTACTCTTATATATCTATATAAGATATTATTATAGTATTAACGTATAACCTCGTCTTTTAGTTTACTTAGAATATATATTAATCTATATATATAGAATAATCTCTAGTTATCTTTAATAAGTTTTCTACCCTTCTCGATAAGTTAGTTAATCGTATCTTCCTCTAATACGTCTTTAATTTTCTATAAGAAGTCGTTATCCTTAACTTCTATCGTCGTAGCTAGTAACTACTTATTATATAAGATAGTACTATTAGAGTTTTATCTTAATATAGTAGGATCCGCTACCTTAGTTCCTAATTTATAATCTAGTTATCTACTTAAAGCGTCGGCTTATCTATTCTCTATTCCTTTATAATATTCGATTCTAAAACTATATTATATAAGGGTTTTAGCCTATCGCGCTTATCGTCTTATTAACTTCTTTATTATAGTAAAGAACGTAAGATTCTTATAATTAGTCTTAACTATTACTATATTTAAGGATGACACGGTGAATAGGAGGCCAGAAACGGCCGCTTTTGACGCCGTTTTAGGCCGCTCGCTTACCGTGATAGGTCTTAGCGTCACGTATACTAAAGCCCACGGCTAACCCCGTTTACTACTACCTATACTTCGGGTTAGCCGTGCCTAGTGCCTAGGCCTATTGATCGACCGATATCTATTCGTGCCGTAGCCGCTATAGGGCCCTATCCTCGTCTACCCTTAGTCACCCTCCTAGCGGAGGGGAGCCAAAAATAGCTCCTCTATTTACCGTTCTACTTCCCTAAGTTTCTATAAATATCGACTACTATAGCCCCGAACGATAGTCCTCCCTCGTTCCCTAGCAACTCTAGCCCTAGTTCTAGGTTTCTAACGAGTGACTTACTTAAAGTAAAATAATATCACTATCGACTATTCTCTTATACTTCTACTCGTCTTTGCTACTCTTTCCCCCTCTTTAAACCTATATTATATTCCGCTATTATACCTTCTCTATATCCTACTCTATCTAATAATAAGAGTAATACTAACTTACGCCTACCTAAGATCTTCTCGAATAACGCTTCCGACTCTAATTCCTCTACTATACCTAGCGTCTTCGATTTAAGTAGCGAATCCGAATCCGAGTCTAAAGATAAGTCCGAAGATAAGCTAGCTTTAGAAGATAAAGAGAAGTAACTTCTACTAGAATACTATCTCTAGGAGGCCGAGTCTCTTAATATCTCCTAGCTCCGATAGAAACGCTATAGCCCGAAAACTTAGGAGAGATTAGATAAGACGTAATATTTTTAGGATAGGTAAGATATCCTTATAATATCCCGCTTCTATTACTAGGTTTGCTAATTATTCTAGGTTCTATAATAGTATAAAGCGCGGTCTAGTAGAATATTTATCCTAGCTCTCTAATATAAAGAAGACGGTACGCTTTCTTAAGGCTCTCTTCTCCTAGCGGTATAACTAGCGATATAGAAAGGATAGATGTCGTACCTTAGGAGTAAAGACTAAAAGCTCGCTCGACTTATTCTAGAAGTAGTAATATCTAATCTATAAGGCCGAGGTTAGATATAAGTTTAGTAAAGATATCTAAGTTAAGATCCGCGATATAAGATCCTAATTAAGTATCGAGATCGGTATAAATAGTACGCGACTAACGTTCTATAGATACTCGCGATAGTTACTAGAGATAAGAAACTTTCCTTTAAAGGTCGACCGAAAGCGACTATATATATTAAAGATATAGCCGAGTTTACTTAAGTAATCCTATCTACGATAGAGATAACTTTTCCTTATAGCTAGTACCGGATATAACTCCTCCTTTTCTACTAGCTAGCTACTATTACTAGTAGCCGTCCTAGGGCGCTACTAAAACTTCGCTTCTAGGATCTTAAATTAATACTAGTTCGGGATCTAAATAGAGGACGTCCTCGACTTTTTATCTATTTAAGACCTAAATTTATAAAATCATTTCTTAGTAAAAAAGAGTTATAAGAATATCCCCTTACTAAGCTATTCCTTATACTTATCTTTCCTCTAGTTATATACTTTTTAGCGCCCTTTTACTTATTATTTCTAATTAGAAATATATTCCTAATTCCGGAGATTATCTTTAATCCTATATTAGTCCTTAGTCCTTATATTTTCCTACTAGGTATACTATTTAGAATTAGCGTATTTAGAAGTCTATTAAAAAACGGCTCTATAATAGACTACCCCGAGAAATTATACTATCTTCGGATCCTAGATAGACTTAGTTAATAGGAATTAAAGCTAAAGGACGAAATTCTCGATTAGAATATATTTTGCTAAGTAATATAAGAGGCTAATAGCCTTCGAATCGTACTCGAAAAGGGACTTACTAGGTTATAGCTATATTATAGAATAAAACGAGGTAGTAAGATTACCGGCTTCGCGGAAGTCGCGAAGCTATATTATCTCCGATATAGCGTAGTAAAAGCGTTTAACGATAGTTATAAGTAATATATTATATATATATAACTTTTAGCTAATACGTTCCTCTCTACTAGCGGACGTATCGAATAAATTATAGAACGTAATACTATAGTACGCTAGTATTAATACTTTTGTCCGGTACTATAGTATAGGTATCTATATAGATACCTAGGTAATTATATAGGGTATACCCGCTTAGAAATAGCTTATATAGTTTGCCTACTTAATAAGTCGATCGATTAATCCTTATAGACCCTATCGGCTTAAAGATTCGAGTTATATTAAAGATATTCCCCATATACATACCTTAGAAGATAGAAAATAGGTAAGAAAGCGAATTCGAGACTCTAAGAAGTATATCTATAAAGAAATATACGCTAAATTATAGTAGGAGTTCAGCGATATCCTACTATAGAGTAGCTCTTATTCCTAAATAATCCGTAAGTAGTAGAAGGCTAAAGAGAAAGGTATTAAAAAGTTATACTAGAAATTTAATTATATAGATAAGTAGTATAATCGTATAGTAAAGTAATTACGAAACGAGAAGGGATAGTAAAAGCACCGATTAATTCGTAAAAATCTAGAGTAATATAAAAATAAGTAGCCGGTAATTAATAGTAAGCGATAACTTTCCGGAAAAGTTATTAACGAAGAAGTTATAGGGGCGTTATAGCGTACCGGCTATATAATACTATAGTATATAATACTTATCGATAGTATTCTAACTCTACCGGGTATAATAGTCGAGAAAGAATATAAGCGTCGAATTGCTATAATTAATATAGTAATTATAGTCTATAATATAGAAGAGGGTACTCTCTCGCGGCCTTAGGCCCTATAAAAACGTACCGCCGATACTACTAATATATTACCTACTACCGCTCTACCTAAGAGGTAGAAGCCTATCCTCTTAAATAAGAATAGTAATACTTTCTCTAAAGCGATCGCTTCTATTTACGTTAAATATCTAGGAGAGAGACTAATAATCTACTTTATTTGTCTTAGTAATACTAGATTACTAGAACGTAAACGCCTAAAAATATATAAGAACCCTAGGTCCCTTAGCCGATACTTCGTTAATAAATATATTAAGCCGTTCCTAAATAATATATACTATAAGTATAATATTTATAGGGAAAAGCTAATATTAAAATCGGGACTCCTAAACTATATATAAAGAATATATAGAACTATCTTCTACCTACCTTTACTAGCTCTTAGCCTACCCCTTTTTTAAATATCCTATATTTCTTATTTCTCTATTAAATATATCCTATAAAGCGAGGTTAAGCGTATATAGTATATAAATATCCGATCGTATAATTATTAATTTTAGGGAAATTTATTAATAACTACTCCTAGTTAAGATATCTAATAACGAGTTATAATAATAAAATTAGAGTAATAATATAATTAGTAAGTTATAGTACTACTTACGCTAAATCTTCTTATTATAGCGAGCGTTTAAATCTCTATCTAAGTATCCTACGCTAATTATAGAGGCTAGAACTTTACTTAGTAGGCTAGTATAAGGCTCTTTAGAAAAATAGTCTTTTCTTAGCGGTTTATCTAGTACTTCTCTATACTTTTTATAATCCTAAGAACTACCCTTATAAGCCTCGAGTTAATAGTTGATTTCTATTATACTAGCTTTCCGCTCCTACTTAGTATATACTCTTTAGAATCGATTGTATAGGTTTACTTCGAAGGTACGGCTATTATAGCGGAACTAATCTTTAATAGCGTTATAAAAGTATAATATTTACTAGCTAGCTAAGATTAGCTAGGTAACCCCGCCTTCTATCTATAAAACCCCCCGCTTTACTAAGGCACTTAGTTTAGGAAATATTTACTCTATATATAATATATAATAGTACTTATTTAGTTCTATAGCTAGTAAGATTTAAGGTAGGTTTTAATAGGGCTATAAGGACTTACTAAAGTATCGACTAGAAAGGTCTTTAATATTAAAACGAAATATAGACCTAATATTAGGTTCTCTATTTAACTTTCTAAGAATATAGTCCTAGAAGCGATAATAGCTTCTATTACTAGGATTAGCTTATAATAGAATTACTCGTTTCTAATCGGTAAGCTTATCTTTAATATACTTTCTTTTAAACGCGACTTACTTAACTAGGTCCTATATAATCCTCTCCTATTTACTATCGTCTTTATCCGAGGGATTATCGAGGTAAGTTTCCTCCGGAGAGAGGTTAACTAGCCTTTTATAAGAAGTTATACTTTTTACGATAGACTTAACCTTAGGGGAATATAGAAATAAATAGGAGGAGTTATACTTATAAAGGAAGTAGGATTATTTCTATAAGAGGGGAGAGAAATACCCTTATAAAAGGTCTTAGACCTCTAGTATCTTACGTATAGCAGCCGAATACTACTAATATTACGTAGAGGAGCCTTAACCTATTAACCCTTAGCTATACGCCGTCTTATCGCCTACCTATTAATTAATACTATAATTAGAAAATTATAGTTTAAGACCTCCTATTAGGCTTATAATTAGTTTATAGGACGATAACTAATTATACCGTTATAACGTATTTTATAAAAGGATATATTTAGTAAATACGAATATATCGGGTCGATAATTGGCCTTTAAAGAGATAACTAAATATCCTATTTTTAATAATAAATTCTATATATAGAAGAAGGCCCTATAAGGAAGAAGGTCCTATATAGAAAAGAAACTACGTACGGAAGAGGGCCCCGTATAAAAGAAAATTACGTATAGAAGAAGGCTCTATATAGAAGAGATCTCTATATAGAAGAAGCCTCCGTATAGAAGAAGAGTACGTATAGAAGAGATTTCCGTATAGAAGAAATCTACGTATAGAAGAAGGCTCCGTATAGAAGAAGACTACGTATAGAAGAAGTCTCTATATAGAAGAGATCTCCGTTTAGAAGAAAACTACGTATAGAAGAGGGCTCTATATAGAAGAAGGCTCCGTATAGAAGAAGGCTCCGTATAGAAGAAGGCTCTATATAGAAGAAGTCTCTATATAAAAGAAGACTACGTATAGAAGAAGTCTCCGTATAGAAGAGATCTCTGTTTAGAAGAAAACTATATATAGAAGAGGGCTCTATATAGAAGAAGGCTCCGTATAGAAGAAGGCTCTATATAGAAGAAGTCTCTATATAGAAGAAGACTACGTATAGAAGAAGTCTCTATATAGAAGAGATCTCCGTTTAGAAGAAAACTACGTATAGAAGAGGGCTCCGTATAGAAGAAGGCTCTGTATAGAAGAAGGCTCCGTATAGAAGAGGGCTTCGTATAGAAGAGGGCTCCGTATAGAAGAAGGCTCTATATAGAAGAAGGCTCTATATAGAAGAAGACTATAATATAGAGGCTTACGGAGACCTAATTACTAACCTAAATAGGGCTAGTAAATATAAGATATTATTAGCTAGCTTAGCTCCCCGGTCTTCCTACTCTAAGGTAGAGAAAGGAGTCCTAGACAACCCTTTTTAGGATCTTTAGTACGTCCTTATCTCCGGCTAATACCGAACAACTTTAATATTATTATTATAGGGCTAGCAAAAATAAGCCTTACTTCTAGTCTAACTACCTAAATATTATATAAATCGTTTATAATAACAAATTTCTAAGATAGGTAGATAAAATCGAGGAGAAAATAATAAGACTTAAACTTTAAGAAGGTTAAACTTTAAATAAACCTAAATAAAAGATCCCTTTAAAATTTTATATTCGGAATATTCGACCTTTAGAAAAATTGTAGTACGCAAATTTTAAGAGGCGGTATAATTTAAGTAATTATAAAATTTATAGCCCGAAATTTTAGACCCCTAAGAATATTCTATTATCCTAAAGCTTATAGACCTATAATTTTTTACTCCGTCGGTATTAACCGGATATAGGGAATTAGCGTAATAATTATAAGGTATAAAAGCGTAATACGAATAAGATACGTAAGTATAAGCGCCTATAAGATAAATATAATATATAGTTACTTCTATATTCTTTTATTCTCGGCCTTCTAAGGGAAACTTTCTTAAAATACAGTTACTTTCCCGATTGTAGTCTTTGAATATCGTAGTCTTTAAATATTATAGTCTTTTCGCGTTCTATAATTAATAGCTCCCCTTTATATAATAATATTTATATTTATTAAGCCCTTTCCTATTAGCGGACCTAAGTCTTATAAGAGCCCCCTTTATCTATATTTTTCTATATAGGTTTCTCTACTCCCTAAATACCCCTAGATATTAAGGTAACGTACCTAATAGCCGCTATTAAAGCTACTAGGTTAAAGGATACTACTTCGAAAAGAAAATTAATACGGTAAAAATAATATCGCCGTAAAATAAGTCTAATAAAAAAGGTATACGAATATAGTAGGATATATAGCGTAGATATATATATAGGAATTCGTATCTAAGAGATAGGCTAGGTATATATATTATTAGCGGATACTTCGGGATTTTAGGCTTTCCTTAGCTTATAATTAGTATATCTTAAACTATAGCTCTGATAAAAGGATAACTAACCTATTAAGAACTCCTACTATCTAGCCCCGATACTAGTGATAGACTAGGATCTATAGTAGGTTAGTAAAGATATACCGTAACAACCTATATAAAGTTATAAGACCGAAGTAGAAGAAAGAACCTTTATTTTTCCTATTCTCGGTTAGGGATTTTATATAATTATTATCCTAATATTTTAATTTACTTTACGAGAATATAGCTATAATTAGCGGTCTAATAATAAATTCTATATATAGAAGAGACCTCCGTATAGAAGAGAACTATATATAGACGAGGGCTTTATATAGAAGAAGGCTCTATATAGAAGAGGACTATAATATAGAGGCTTATAGAGACCTAATTACTAATCTAAATAGGGCTAATAAATACGAGATATTATTAGCTAGCCTAGCTACTCGGTTTATACTCTAAGGTAGAGAAAGGAATCCTAGAGAACCCTTCTTAAATCTTTAGTACGTCCTTATCTCCGGTTAATACCGAATAACTTTAATATTATTACCCGTCCGATACTTCGTATCCTATAATAGACTATAATTTCCTCTAATAATCTTATAACCCTTCTCTTAAAGGGCGTAGATTTTAACGTCTAAAACCCGTAGTCTTTCCTATAATAGACGTATTTAGACGATCGATTTATTCGTAGGAAAATCTAGGTATACTAAAACTATAGTCTTTCCTATAATAGACGTAATCTAATAATCGATTTATTCGTAAGAATATCTAGATATACGCTAAAACCG